TTTGTGCCTGTCTGTTCCCCCCTCGCTGACCTCTGATGGGGTGGAATTTCATCCCCTCTCGAGAATTCAGCGTCGGGTTGTGCGCCCCTGGTATTTCTAGCCGCTGGACTGCGAGTTTGCCTTGCAGACTGAACATCATTGAGCTGCCTATGTCTCAAGTTATGGCTATGTTGAGACGGTACTCTTCTTCGGCATCCACGACCACGTGGCATTATCTTATTTTACTTGTATAGTGAATCGTGTGTAAAGGCGAAAGAGGAAATTGCACGGGCATTTCGTGCTTTTATAGCCAATTATCTGGTACCTGTTTACGCTATATAAAATTAACTTGTACAACGGAAACCAGTAGTATTCTACACCTAACACAATAAGGTTAGAATTAATCCGATTGTATAGCAACCGCTAATGTAAACAAATCTGATTTCTTGAAGGATAAATTGAATTATTTTAATTCAAAAATAATTTTCATTATTTATGAAAAGAGTGCTATAGAAATGTGGTATATAACAATAATAATAATAATAATAATAATAATAATAATCTCAAAAAGGTGTTAGAGGTATCAACTTGAAACTTATTAGGTGGATAGATCTCATTGAGGAGGAGTGCAGCACACAAGACATTTAACCTACCGTGCATTATTTTTCAGTTATTGCCCTTTGTTATTTTTCATACTTAATTTTGTCCAGAGCATAACTACAAAGGCCATGAACATTCATAGGTGGATAAATCTCACTCGAGAGGTATGCAGTACACAAGAATGATAATTATTCTGCTCTACTACATATAAACATGGCTCTTGTAACAAGTTACATGATTATGATATTTTAAAACCTTCTGAACAAGTTAACATGTCAATTCAAAACAATGCTATTTGGAGATACCTTATCAATATATTTTACTGGGTTTTTTGGGGTTTTTTTTTGTGTGGGGGTTTTTTTTTTTTTTTTTTTTTTTTTTTTCGCCGTGACAATCATATTGCTGCATTTCCCAGCAATTTTTTACTTGTACAACTTATTGACTGGTCAATTATTTTACATTAAGCGTCACTATGACCCTAATTTTTGACCCAATGACCTCAAAATTATTACATGTCATTTACTGACTTAGCTATCTCGTGGCCACGACTTAGCTATCTCGTGGCCACGACATAGTATCTCGTGGCCACGACTTAGCTATCTCGTGGCCACGACTTAGCTATCTCGTGGCCACGACATAGTATCTCGTGTCCACGACTTAGCTTTGTCGTGGCCACGACTTAGCTATCTCGTGGCCACGACTTAGCTATCTCGTGGCCACGACATAGTATCTCGTGGCCACGACATAGTAACTCGTGGCCACGACATAGTATCTCGTGGCCACGACTTAGTAACTCCTGGCCACGAAATAGTATATCGTGGCCACGACTTAGCTACATCTCGCGGCCACGACTTAGTAACTCATCTGATAGCATTGTCTGATAGAGGATATAAATAATAACCGGAGCATAATTTTTTCACTCATTAAGAGATTTTGCAACAACTTGGTAGAAATATTCACCATAATAAGACGATATGTCATTGGAAACAACCAGAGCTGAAAGGTCAAGGTCACACTATGAGATCAAAGGACAATATACATAAGAATGGAATATTTCGTTCGTGTCCGTTGAAAACTTTTTCATCAATCAAGGGATTTTTAAAAAACTTGCACAAATGTTTAACATAGTTAAAGCACATGTCATGCGCAACAATCAGACCTCTTTCTCATATAATTATGTCACACTTAGATGTCAAAGGTCAACTCTGTCTTATCAAACGTAAATATTGTGGTCAGTTCATAATTTTTTCATCCATCCAGTGATTTTGAAATTACTTAGCATAAACGTTCACCATAATAAGACGATGTGTTGCGTAACACCCAGAACTATGGAAGCTTGAATTTACCCCCTAGATGCCGTGTTCGTGACTACTCGTGTGTCGTCATGTCGACTTATATTTACGCGACATGACGTCTTCTATCATTGTTTGGTGAGATAATAAAGATGTATAGGCAACGTTTGTTTCAAGGCATGTCGACATATTTTTTGTCATTAATGGAGTTAATGAGAATCAATAATAGCTATGTCAACGTAATTTATCTCGACAAGCCTTGTTATATCTGCTTCTTGGAATATATCACCGATTATTAACATCATGGGCACTGTCGGAAAGACCCAATTAATATTCGGAAAGTAAACTCCTCCCACCAAACCAAAATCTTATTACATTGAATGGTTCATCTTTTGAATAACATATTGCTGGACACTTGTATAGGTCATTTGTGTTTTAATATAAAATTTGGTATATGTCCGTTTCTATAGTGCATTTTGTATATGCGTTTTTATCTAACTAGCAGTTATACCAATTAAATTTTGTCACAGGGTGAGAAAAAATGTGCAGCCTGACCGGGACTCAAACCCGATATTGTAAAATATCAACTCAATTGATACATTAAGATCAAATTAAACATCAGACTGATAAACTTTTAATATAGCCGAAATTGTTTCCTCAATAAAGGACGATTCTAAATATTTAGTTTATAATTACTCGATGGGCGGGATTTAGTTTCCGAATAATAATTATGACGTTCAAATGGTCCCGTCCTGTTTTATAATAGACATAAGTTATGTCGACATGGTCTGATACAGATGTTGTAAAGATTCTATGTTTCTCCATCAAAACCATGATACAGCAGGCCATGTCGCACTAATATATATCAACATGACCACATATAAATTATCACGGACCACGGCATCTCGGGGGGTCAATTCAAGCTTCCATACAGAACCCTATCTTACAGATAAAGGTCACACTTAGAGAGTCAACATTGTTTGATGGAGGGAATTTGTCGTGTCCTTTGCATAACTTTGTCATCCATCAAGGGATTTTAAAATTACTTGGCAAAAATGTTTACCATAAAAAGGAAATGCAGCGTGCTCAACAACCAGGTCGAAGTCATACACAGAGGTTTTTGATGGTATACGGTATTTTTTCTTATATGTAAAAAATGTTTGAAAACCAGTTTTATCGTTGTAATAGATGTACCATTCGTGTTTAAATATTAAAATAGTTTCGATAGAGTGTTTACAGCGGCGTATCACGTTGGGGGGGGGGGGGGCAGGATCTGACCCCAAAGCGTCTGTGTTTGTATACTGGACTAATCTTCCTTGTAGTGATGGGCTGTAAGAACAAAAATCTGAGAAGGCGGCAGTGCTGACATTGGTAAGACTTACAGATCTGCAAGCATAATTTTAACCTGCTGAATTTGTGATATGTCTAGTATCAGGTAATTTTGGCCTCGTTTCTCCATTACATAAAATGTTTTGAAAAAAGGCATCGGAAAAATCCTTGAACATGTTTTTTGTTGTGTTTTTTCTTCTAGATTTGTGTACAAGATACAGAACATGTAAACATGTATTTTTAACGTATCTTAAATTTATTCTTAGCGTACTTTTTATTATATAAAATTATCACGCTTAATATTGTGTGTAATATTTTCAAAAGATAGAAAAGTATTAAAGCGGTAGGTGCATCGAAAAAGCTTCTTATCGACACGCAGTTACAGGACAAAATATGATTCACTACGACCAAATTGCATTATTATATATAATAATAGAATATTAGAGCAATTAACATGAAAAAAATGTCCTATATAATTATGATCTGATCGTATGATGTCATCTGATCAGTTGTGTCACTCACTGCTGAGTTTATATACAAAGAGCTATTCTTAAAAATTGATGGAACTTTTTTTTTATTTTAGAATAGCGTTTACAGTGTGTCATTAAAAAGATTTGTCCGAAGCACCTATCGTATTGCAAACACTTACATCAGAAGAAAATACTAAAAATTAAAGTCGAAAACCACGTAGTTATTAAGTTAGTAACATAAGGGGACATGCAGAATGAAAACTGTATATCATACACGGTGTTTAATCGTTTCGAACCGATTTGGAGTATTTCCCCGTTCCTGAACTGATTTGGATTCATGGCTGATTTGAATTGATTAAGATAAAATGGATTTTAGCTTGACAAAATAAACACATTTACATTTTTTAGTCTTTGAATATTCTACTTGCATGGAACATTGCAATGTTTAAGGAATTCATATACAACTTTATAAGGTTAGTTAATGGTCTTTTATCTGACAGTTAGAATCGAAAAAACAAATTTCACATGTCAGTGAAGTAATAATAAACACTAGCATAAAAGTGCCAAAAAAGTTATTATTATCTTCGACTTTTCAGGTATTTCATGTTCATTTTATAGAGAGAAAAAATCACACCGTGATTTTATGGTTTTAGTAAAATGTTTTGTCCAGTCATGAATGTGTATTACGTATTTTTATAATTGTTATACATGTATTATAATTATTCGGAAACACTGGTTAATTATATACTGCGAGCCGGCTGCCCCAACCCCAACTCTAAAAAGTACGTGTCCCGTGCATTAATTATTCTACCCAAATATAAACCAAACAGCAAAAACATATTTAAAGTAGAATAAAAAGTACCAAAAAGAAAAGAGTATGAAAAAAAACATGACTTTTTAAATTTTCATTTGAATTGGAGAGGTTTTCAATTCACTTGAATGGTATTGCGCGATTTAATCAATGTTTGATATGAATAATTGAATTAGAGAGCGTAATTTCCAATCATTTAAAAAAAATCTCTACAATACTATGATTTTGCACATCTCTAATTGAAATTGAGACTTGAAGAGCTCTTGAAATTTTCCAATTTGAATTTATATCGAAACTTTGTGAAAACAATGTATATACATACATGTAGATTTGGCATCCCATACATTTATAAATGTAATAACTACAAGTTTATTGTTTACGTATCTGACCATTTGATAGCATGTATCAAATTTGGAAGGGATTTGCCAATTCGCGTATTAAGAATAATTATGGCACATGTCCCTTCAGGTATTCCGTAGTTTGTACAGGAAGTAAACAGAACATGTATACAACACATTTAACGTATAATTTCTTCTCTTGTTTTTATAACGCTTTACCTTAGTTTAACAGGAAAACTTCATTGATATTTAAATGCTTAAAATACAGGGTTTACATGGCATGGAAATTTTTTTTGCAGAATATTGCCTTGTCAGTAAATAAAATCGAATATTAGTAACTAAATGATGTAGTAACCGTACTGTACCCAATTTCGGATATTTGAACTATTTTTAAATGCACTTTGAACTAGCGGTTAGAAATAAACAATCGGATCAAAGTAATGCTGTATAGTGATACTGATAACGAAGATTTTGAGCTTAACGACTTCGAAATGTCAGACGAGCAATCACTTTTAGTCCAGACTTCAGCAAGGATGGGTCGTGCTCAATATAGCTCGGACTCTGAAAAAGAGGGCAGTATTAAAATAGATACAAAAATGGACCAAAAGGAAAGAAGCACACCATGCTTTGTGTTTGTACTTTCATTTTTCTCAGCAATTAGTGGATTTTTATTTGGTTATGATACTGGTGTGGTCTCTGGAGCTATGTTGCTAATTAAAGATCGTTTCCAATTAACTTCAATTAAAGAAGAAGTAATAGTCAGTGTGACAATAGGATTTGCTTTTATATTTGCTCTAATTGGAGGCTGGTTAAATGACAGATTTGGTAGAAAGATGACAACTATTTTAGCAAGCATTGTGTTCACAGTGGGAGCCGTAGTCTTGGCTGCGGCTTATCAGTTTTGGATGCTGGTGCTTGGTAGGGCCATTCTAGGCATGGGAATAGGTATGTTTCATATATATGAGCGTTTTTATTATGATTTTTTGGTAGCTGGATAAAATTCCCCTGCACTATGTGTTTGGCCATCTGACTGTAACCTTCTAGGATAATTTCTTTCTTGTTTCTTTCTGGCATTAAGGGATTTACCTCCATCTTTGACAGACTTTCATGTTTAGTAAAAAAAAAAATTTTTTTTTTTTGTTTGGCAATAAATTTTTAGGTGTACCTGTGATTTTTGTGGGTACCGGTAGGTAACAGGAGGGGAAACAAACAATGTTTATTTTAGGTTTTATTGGAACACTTCAGATTATGTAATGTGTCTACCCTGATGATAAATTATAAGCTTTTAAAATTTCAAAATTTTATTACATTTGTAAGTTTGAAAGATGATTGATCATTTTATAAATATACTGTACTGTACACATATTAAGTACATGTACTAAAATGAATAAAAAGGGAATTTTACCCAGCTGCCATTTTTAGTTAAAAATTGAATAAAATTTGTTTTCCATAGCATATTTTCTCTTGATATTTCTACATTATATACATGTATAAACTCAGTTGTTTCATCATGTTGATACCTTTACAGCTGACAAACTTGAAAGAGTCATTAGGCATCTGTTTATTACGGCAGGATGTTATACAAATCTCTTTATTGATTTTAATGCATTAAGTTGGATATATTAAGAATGCTTAATTATATATACAATAATCCATATAAAAAACATACATGAAATATATCAATACATGTATTTGAAACTATTTTCATGCTGTCAGTTTTGTCATGGACTTTAATTGTCAATTTGTTAATTATATATATTTTTTGACAGCTCCAAATGTTGTAACCTGGCTCTTCTACCTCCAGGAAATATTAGGCACTTTGACTTTTCAAGCCCATGTTAAAGGTCCGGCATAACTTGTAAAATCTAAAATATCTTCTAAAATCCCCTGCACTGCAAACTTGTTAGAAATATTCTCAATTTTTTCAACTATTTTGATGTTCAATCAAAACCACTATTGACCAAGCAGTATTGGGACAGATAGAAAATGAAATACTGACAAATCCTGCCCGCTACTATACCAGACGCACTGCCCAGGCTGTTAGGGAGTGGGCTTATCAGTTGATACATGTAAATGACTGGTGGTTTACCAGTTAGAAATATATCATTGTGATTATGAGCATGGAGTTTGCATGAAGTTTTTTACCCAATATTTTTTCATTATATAAATGTCATATGAAAGGTCTTTATGGCAGATTAGCAGAGTTTTAAGGGGAGATAATTGTTTCAGGCATGGCGTCCATGACGGTGCCAGTATATATTGCTGAATGTGCACCAATGTCTATGAGGGGCCGTTTAGTAACCCTCAATACACTCTTCATAACTGGTGGACAATGCATTGCCAGTATTATTGACGGTGCATTTAGTTACGACAAAGAACATGGATGGAGGTACTCTTTAGTGATAACTTTACATAAATCTGCTCATAAAAGCTTTTAAGAAAGGTCACAATTGCCCATGTTCCTATGGGCAGCTTTTGGTGGAAGTACTTGAAAATGGTAAGGTAATTATTATATTGTATCGTATAGACAAGCTTGACAAAGACTGGTTTGGAACTTTTTCCAGGAATGGCTTCAATGACGGTACCTGTCTATATTGCGGAATGTGCGCCAATGCATATGCGAGGAAGGCTGGTAACTCTTAATAACCTGTTTATAACGGGCGGTCAGTGTGTGGCTAGTGTTGTAGATGGCGCCTTCAGTTACGATAAAGAAAATGGATGGAGGTAAGCGAATGCTTTATCAACAGTATGGGGAAGCATGTCTGTGTTTTTAAAGGTATCTTTTATCTTACATTGTTTCAGGGATGGTACTTTGTTCTTCTTTTATCTTTTTCAATTTATTGGAGCTATAGGCCAATCCAGTGGGATAAAAAGAGTCATGACCCCATATGAACAATGAGTAAAATGCCAAACCCCCTCGAGAATATGCATTACCTTTTATCAAATTATGCAACCCCCTCTGGTAAAAAATCCTTAATCCGCCCCTCAGAGCTTCTATAAGCTAGTAGATTTGACCTGATGATACAATGCAAATCTGTTAAAGAATTAGTATAAATATTTCTCTCTCAAAAACAGTTCATCAAATACATGCTCTATTGAAAGTAGGCATGAACAATTTTCCTTTTATGTTACCTTAATAATTAAATGTTTATGTTATTTACAGATGGATGTTAGGCCTTGCTGCTGTGCCGTCTATCGTACAGTTTATCGGGTTTATTTTCTTGCCAGAAAGTCCTCGTTGGTTGATTGCTAATGGAAAAAGTGATACAGCTCGAACAGTTCTAGTAAACATACGGGGGACCACAGACATAGAATCAGAATTGGAAGAAATCGAGGCAACTGTTGAAGAAGATAGGCTGGAAAAAGAAAAAGCAGGTGTCTGAATTAAAGTCATTTGGTACATAGTAAAGTAAATAAAAAAAAATAAAATTGTATATAAATATTTAAGATTTGTAAAAGGAGTATATATTTCCAGTTAATGTTTATTGGTTCCAATGTACAGTAAAACCTGTGTAGAGCAATACCCTGTGAGAGACAAAGATTTAGGTTGCTTTTGAGAGGTCTTGCTCTATAGGGGTAAAATTATTGTTTATTGTTAATTATTATAGAAATAATACCGTTGTTGTACAGAGGTTATTGCTTTATGGAGGGCTGGCTCGGTAGGGGTTGAACTGTATTAAACTTCAACTATTTTACAATTTACAATTAGCATTCTCATTTCTCAACATCAGTGTTATTCCATACAATGAGGGGGGGATAGATGTTAGTTAACCCTTTCCCCCATGAGCATATTGTGAAAAATGGCCGTTTTCACTGAAAAGCCTCCTGTTACAAGTTCAAACTGCTATGAAACTATGAAAAATACTTCAATACTAATCAAACTTGGCACAAATGTTGACTGGACCATTGTCTTTGTAACGACATGCTCAGTCTTAAATTTCCTGTTACCATGGCAACAAGGGGACATCTCAAAATTTCCAAAAATCACTATTTTGCCTCGATTTTTTCCATCAAAATTTATTTCAAAGTGCTGCAACTGCTCAAGGGATTGAGATAGAGTCAAAGGCTTTTCAGCGTTGGTTAAACGTTACATTATGATCGACCTGGGGTCATTTTTAGCCTCTCACAAGTCCAAAATTTTCTTGGCGATTCAAACCCCCCCCTAAAAGAAGGGGGCACATCCCCCTTCTGGCAACCCCCTGATGTATGTTTTGGATGGGGGGCGGCGCCGAAAAAGTGCTCAATTTTTTAAGCAACATTTCTCAAACGAAAACTTATGTTTGGGACCCAAATAGGACATTTTTTCACTATTTGAGGTCTAAAAAGGGGGGGGGTCGAAAGTGCGTTGTTTCGCGTATATATGTGGTAAAGGGTTAAGCTCTTTGGATGTCTGTGGCCGAGTGGTAATGGTTGCTGATCTTGAACTTGCCCCTCATTGCTATGGGTTTGAAAATTTCTTACAAAGACAATGTCTGGAACAGCCCCAACTGGAATTGCATTGAATTAATAAAAAAGAAATTCTTGAACTATTTATATTTTTCTCATATTTCACATACTTTTGTTGGTAAAAAAAACCCATCAACTTATTTCCTACTTTTTTCCTTCAGGTTCAAATGTATTTATGAAGATATTGAGGACTCCGCCTGTAAGGAGGGCCCTCATTGTGGGGTGTGGCTTACAACTTTTCCAGCAACTTTCCGGTATAAATACTGTCATGTAAGATTGGAAAGCCATTTTCTAATTTTAGTGTTTGTTACCAATTTTAATATTTATAATTTTATTAAAATTAAACTTATAATAAACGACTGAAATGTCATCAAAAAAATTGTCATAAATTTTAATTGATTTAACTTTGATTGAACTAGAATACTTTGAAGGAACTCCACTGAGGTCCATAAGCCTAAGACACAAAATTTCCAAATCTTACTTAGATCAGCAGGGGCATTTAAAATGGAAAGATGTGCAAAGGATTATTGAGAAATATACTGAGAAATAAAATTGAAAATCATATTTTGTGCAAATTAAGCCCAATTTGAGTAAACAAACTTTGCAATGCTTTTATATTTTGGGTCATTTTTCACATATAGATTAGAATAATTATTCTGGATAAATGGAGCAAGCAAATGATCTGGAATTTTGCACACAAGCTATTATCAAATGCAACATTAACCTTGAAAAAAAAATCCTGTTCCATCAGTGGAGTCCCTTTAAAGCATATTTTAAGATTTAAATGTCAAGAAAATTTTGACCTATATGAGCAACCAGGTTACTGAAGAATCTATATATGTATTTGGACCTACTTCAGTATACATTGTATGTAGTCTGAAATTTGTTATCTGAAATATGTCATAAATTTGATACTTAATTTCATCTCAATTAGTTGTATACCTTACTGTTGTATGTGTTAGGAGCAGTTAAATGTTTGACTTACTTAGTAACTAGTAAATGTTAGGGTAATACTGGACAGCTTGTATAAGTAATTAAGTCCTCTTCATATAGATAAAGTGTGACTGAATACTACCTTAAGCAAATCTGTTGAAACATTTTCTCTTACATATTAGGTATTTAGCCTTTAATCTGTTAGGGCTTTAATCTGTTAGGGCAGTCTTTTAACAATTTAGTCGCTGATGATACAAAATGAAAATTATTTTCAATAATCTGTTGATGTATAAAAACCCAACCAAAAATAATAATTTGCAAGAATCTGAGAGGCATTTACTTACAAACTGTGATGTTAATTATTCATAAGGGGCCTCCTTGGTCAAGTGGTTTGGGTTGCTGACTTTAAACCACTTGCTCCTCCATTTCTGTGGGCAAGGGGCATAATTTGGAAAGTTATATTTTTGGAGTTAAGCTCCTTTTAAACTTAGAATTGTTGTTAATATTTGTTCTTTTAACAGATAGGCATTAACACTGCATGCCATGCTCATGTTTAAAGTTATATATTTTGATTATATATTTTGATTTCTCTCTGCAAGGGAAACATTACTATTTATCATTTTGTATTTATTTTGAAATCTTAAAAGAAATTATTTGTGATTTTGATAGGCTTAGATTCCAATTGGCTGCACATATGGTACCATAATTATAAGAATGTCAGCAGGAAACGGGTTACTGCTAAGATTTATATGCAATTATTGTGTGTTTCAGGTACTACAGTGCCACTATAATCAAAATGTCAGGTGTCCGGAAACAAAGTGATGCAATATGGTTAGCGGCGGCCACAGCCGGTGTAAATTTTGTGTTCACTATAGTGGCATTGTTCCTTGTAGAGAGATTGGGAAGAAAAAAACTCATTATGGGAAGCTTGTTTGGTATGTTAAAAAACCTGTATACAGGGTTGTCATTTATATCTGAGGCAACAGAATGATATGCCAATGAAAGAATATGATTTGGCTATGGGTATAGGGGGATATTTTGATAAACAGAATTTAACCGATATAGATTACCAATCTGTAAATAATGAAAACCTTTGTATAAGAAGTGTTTTATTTTGAGTCCAAATAAAATTAAATAATATAACCTGAAAATCTTTTTAATAAACAATCACATTTACAAGGTTGACAGATGAGTCCAAATAAGATTAAATAATACATGCATAACCTGAATATCATTTTTATTACCAATCACATTTACAAGGTTGAAAGTCGCTGTTCTAATTGCATGTTTACAAGGATAATCATTAGTTTTTGTATCATTCATTTTGTGCAATACACATATATATAATACCCATGTTTTGATTGAAGTAAACATATTGTGGCCTAGTGAGTAAGATTATTGACTTTGAATTGTTTGCTCATACTGTTACTGGTTCAAATCCAATATGTTTCTATCAAGATAGAAATGTAGCTATTTGTTCTGCCCAGGCTCCCACTGCTGCTGTTACCTGCTATATATAGCACAATTCTAAATAAAAAAAAGATCTTTTTTTGCAAAACTTTGATATTGATTTATTATTAAAGGGATACTCAGGCAAAATAATGATAAAAATATATAATTGTTCTTCTGTACTCAATTCACCCTAAAATGACATTTCTTAAAGTCCCAGCATGAATTTCTGTATAAATTCTATATATTTTGGGTTTGAAGCTTAACCCATTACTTCATGAGCATTTTGTGAAAAATGGCTGTTTTCATTGAAAAGTCTCCCGTTACAAGTTCAAATTGCTATAATGCTATAAAAACTGCTTCAACACTTATCAAACTTGGCACAAATGTTGACTGGACCATTGCCCTTGCAACAACATGCTCAGGCTTAAATTTTCTGTTACCATGGCAACGAGGGGACATCTCAAAATTGCCAAAAATCACTATTTTGCGTTGATTTTTTCCATCATAATTGATTTCAAAGTGCTCCAACTTCTCAATGGATTGAGATAGAGTCAAATGCTTTTCAGCGTTGGTTACACGTTACCTTATGATCAATCTGAGGTCATTTATAGCCTCTCACAAGTCCAAAATTTTCTTGGCGATGAGGGGGACTCCGCCCCCCTTCAAACCCCCCAAACAAAAGGGGGCACATCCCCCTTCTGGTAACCCCCTGATGTATCTTTTGGTTGGGGGGCCGCGCAGAAAAAGTGGTCACTTTTTTTAACAACATTTCTCAAACAAAAACGAGTGTTGGGGGCCTAAATAAGGCATTTTTTCACCATTTGAGACAACAAAAAGTGGGGGGGGGGGGGTGAAAAAGCCGTTAAAAGGCGTGTATATGAAGTAATGGGTTAAATATATCTATATATGTTGAACGAAATTTAGACGCCAACAGAATCACCGAATAGTTTAAAAACAAGTCATGACTGTGATTTGAACAAACCCTGGTAGTTACAATAACAAGTATTGTAGATATTGTATAATTGAAACAAGTCTAAATAATTGATTTGACATGTTCTTTAACGTTTCCAGAGTACACAGTGCCAACAATTGTGAAATCTTAGCGCTCTAACCTGACCCACGCAGGTCAAGTTAGGAAAACGCCATTTTATTCTTTATATGGAGAAAAGTTTTGTTCCTTTGACTGTTTAGTGTATTCATTTTGAGGACATTTACAGAATAATGAATGAAAAATTCAAAACTAAGAGATGAAAATTTTGCCTGTGTCTTCCTTTAAAATGTTATACATGTACTTGTTTTTCAACTATACCAGTTGGATTTGTTTTCTAGTGGTCTTGTACACTTTATTAATGGCAGTTTGGTGAAAACTTCAAATTTATGTCTGCAAAATTTACTAGAATTACAAATGGATTGTTACCGTAAACATTTTAGCAGTGGTTGTTTGATGCACTATATTTTCTAATGATCCAAGCGTTCTTAGTATAATATTGAAGAAATTTGGCAAATACATTAAATTTACTTTGGTTTTTTTAAAAACACTCTTTTTTTTTTTTTTTGTAAACAAACATCTGACGAGAATATGTGACATAAACAGAAGCAATGTTAACTCTAGGACATAGACAATTTAGGGCACTTGACAATACTTTGATACCATCTTTGAAATTCGGTAATTGTATATGACTTGATTATGATTGTCTTGTTTGGTTTATATTTTAGGTGTATTGCTGAGCTTGATAGTTTTGGCAGTAGGTTTCCAGTTGGCAGCCTTCCATTCCCCACCCATTTCTTGGTCAGAAGAGGGGGATAACTCTTGCCATGGCTACAAGTAATTTAACATTTCTGTATTATTCTGAAAACCTTTTGATCCTTGCTATCCTTAATATCTTAAATTTATACATAAGTGAAGTGTGACAAGTTCAGTGAAATTTTAGCAGCTAACAGCCACATACTTCGAGACTTCCCCAGCTCTATACAAGTGGCCATGGGGTAGTTTTAATCACTGCTATTATTCCTATAGTCAGATGTGATATATTTTCAATCATTTATAATGGTTTTGTTTTATTTCCAGCTATTGTGAAGAGTGTATAGAGAATGTAGATTGTGGATTTTGCTACAATGACTATGGTCAGGGCGTTGTCAATGGATCATGTCTACCTAAAGATGGAGATGATTCAAGTCATTCTAAAGGTAACACTTTTTCAAGAAATGTAAAATTTAGAAAATTTAAAATTGATTCATTACCCTGGGTATTAAGATCTTTTGTGAAAGATCACATAGTATGTGACCAACAAATTGGCGACAATAAGGTCAAATTGACATTCACTAATTGCTGCGAACAGTCTCACTTTTAACAACTTTTATCTTGGTTTATCAGTCAGCAGTCAATTAAGGTGATTTTTTTTTAAAATGTACATTAGAAAAATACACTCTTTTTCGCAACTTCCAAATACTTGTATTGTCATTTGCGGAATTGGCCAATTGCAATGGATACTCTGCATTAGTGAGCATTTTGTTACTCTTATTGCAGAACTGTTATGTCTGTTGATTAATCAAATAGAATATCACTTTGTTGAATATCATTGTAAATCAAAGAATGTGTTTAAATTATTATACAGTGGGACGGTGTAATGCTACGACAGGGGAAGAACCGGATCTGATATATGCGTACCAGTATTGTCCGACAGATTACTCATGGATGGGAATTGCTGGCCTGGCAATCTACCTCATGTTTTTTGCACCAGGTAAATAAAGATATTGGCATTTATGATGCATTTTAGGATGTCTGATAAATATTAGACAAGTATCTAAATATCGAAATTAACCAGTAGAACTGAACATATCCATGTCACCAGTGCAAACCAAGATCTGTTGGGAAGGTTTCAAGATACCTGTTGACTAAATAACAAACAGTGCTGACCATGATAAGACAGCACAAAGATGTGGTATGTCCATGCTTGCTTTCTGATCATGGTCTGCACTGTTCACTATTCAGTCAATAGGACTATTGGCTATTCAATTAATATGTTGAATGGTTTCATCCAGATTAAAGTTGGACATTTGAGATATTTAGAGTGGTAAGGGTTAAGAACTGATAGTCTGATTCGTTATGTCAAATATTTTTTTTTTTTAACTGCAAAATACACATTTTTTTTCATCAATATTTCTTAATATTTCATTTATAAAAAAATGCTTATAATACAATAACAAATACTACAAGAAAAGAAATAATAATCTGTCTCCATTCGTAAATGCATATAAAAGATAATTAATGAAAATACGTAAGGTTGAGCAGAGAAGTATTTTCCATGACATCATATGGATTTTTAACATCACAACTGATGTCATATTTCTTTCCTTACTCTCCACATATCTTATAGTAATGTAATCAATTGTTCAGTTTATTTAATACATAGAGGATATTTGTTTGTTTTGCATGTAAGATTGAAATATAATTTCACTGAGTGAACACCAGATGCAATATTTTCACGAGTGGCGTAGCCACAAGTGAAAATATAATAGATGGTGTTCACGAATGAAATATATTTCAATGTTATATGTAAAACAAATAAATTTTCTTTTTATTTTATGCTTTTTAAGTGATTTTAAGCTATTTTTTACTGATTTTGCCGTGTAACGTCTCGCATCGCCTTTGTGACGTCATTATATCATGACGTCACATCATCAGTTTTGAAATCTAGTTCCGTTAAATTTCTCTAATTTTGTTAAATTTCTAACATGATGTATGATGACATTGACTTTCTTTTCCTAAAGAAGCAAAATTTACGTATGACGGCATTTATTTCTGCCTGTTATTCCATTTAGTTATGATTTTCTGTTCATCCGCATTCAGATATAGTCCGGCTACAGTGAAAATTATATTTTATAAATTTCACTAGTGGTTTATCAGAATATAATCATCTGATATATTACAATAAAACACTGGAAAGCATGAAATAAATTATGATGTATAGTATATAGTAAAGAGTATGTTGTTAATTACTTTATAGACCGCCTCCGTGGTCGAGGGGTTAGAATCGATGACTTCTAATCCAGTTACCTCTCTGGTGTGGGTTCGATCCCCGGGAGATGCTTTGGTAGTTAAGCGCGGAGGAAGGTAGTCTAGTACTGGTGTAACTCTCCAGGAACGATGGCTAGGAAACTATCTGCCTATATGACTGAAATAGTGTTAGAAAAAGGCGTAAAATGAAACAAACAAACAGTAATTACTTTATGTTATCAGGTATGGGACCTATGCCATGGACTATCAACTCAGAGATCTACCCTCTATGGGCAAGAAGTACATGTAACTCGTTAGCTACGGCAACTAATTGGCTATCTAATCTAGTTGTCTCAATGACATTCCTCACACTTACAGAAACCATCACTAAATATGGTAAGTCGAAGTTTGATCTGAAAGATTTATATGCTTCCGAAACTTCTAAATGGAGAAACGAGTATCCTTTGTGTCCTTCTATCTGTCCTTTCTCCTAATCTTATGTCCTTTCTTTCAATTGTCTGTCCTATTTTCCAACAATCAGTCATTCTTTCCATCTGTCTGTCTTTCCTTATGTGCTTTCTTTGGTGCTTCCATTTGCCAATATGTCCTTTCTTCCTTACTGCAACCTTTTGCCCTAAATTCCAACAATCTGTCCTTTCTAACTGTCTGTTATTCTGTATGTGCTTTCTTTGGTCCTTTCATCTGCCAATCTGTCCTTTCTTCCTTACTGTTTCTTTCTGTCCTTTCGTCCAACCTTTGGTCCTTTCTTCTAACTTTCTGTCCGTTCTTCCATTCTTCCTTGTTCTTTTTGCCTTTATTCTGTCCTTTATCCTTCTGTCCTTTCTTTCATCCTTCTGTCCTTTCCTACATCCTTCTGTCCTATATTCTGCCCTTCAGTCTTTTCTACTGTCTTTCTATAGCACTTACTTACCTTTTCACATAACACCATCATTTATTGACTGATAATTGTGTAATATTTTTGTATTTGTACCATTCATGCTTCTCTACAATGGACTTAGATTTTTGTTTGAATGAATCATGGTCAAGGTCAGTTTTACTTTACATACATTTAATATTCTCAGTACATCAAGGCTGGTTTTGTACTCTATTTACTGTGTGTGAAATTAAGTGACATTTTTTTAATGAAATTTTGGGATGGAATATTTTCTTTTTCCAAAGTATGCAAGGAAGTTTTGGATACTCTGTCATATTTTACATAAGAAAACTTTGTGTTGTTTTATTGCAGGTACATACTGGTTGTTTGTGGGAATTGTGGTTATTGCATTAGTTTTTATGGGAATTACATTACCTGAAACCAGTGGGACAAAATTAGAGGAAGTTGAACTGTTGTTCTCACAACCACTGTGCAGTTGTTCGAAACCCCCACCCACACATCACGAGGAGCACACAAAATATGTGGAATAGATACAAGATAATCTCTTCTCTATGTAAATTACATGGAAAAAATGTGATAAACTTTACAGAGCAAAATATGACAGTGTTAGGATGAATTTTATGAAATATCTTGGATATCGTCAATCTAATTAAACCCAGTTACAAAATTATGCTATGCATTAGGTTCTGACAGTCACCAATAGAAGGTCACCTTCTTGTGACCTTTCAATTAAGGAATTTGTGGCCACAATGGTGTTCTATAAAGTCATGGAGCTAAATATAAATATATGAATATCTGTGATAAAGTAGATCAGTTTCTATTTTTTAAAACCAAGAAACCAAGATAGGTGTATGTGATTATCAAGATATCATATATTACCAGTGGACAAAAAATGGGGGCATCTGTGAATGAGTGCTTACATTCCATACTAGTAAATGATAGAATTGTACGTCCCACATAAAATATTTTCAAAATAACTACTTAAATAATCTTAGTAAAATAGAAAAGACTTGTCTGACTTCATGGATGATGAGGTATTATTTAAAATGCTTCGCTGTAACTGTTGATTTGATTGGTTGGCTTAAAATAACTTTATTATAAAATTTAAGTCCATTAGAAGAGTAAACACAGATCTACATGTAAACATTAAGAAGATCTGAGCTTTAGTCAGACTGGAATACCCTGCTCCTTGTCGTTAAATTGGCATTGAGCTTTTAACATATATTTGTATTTGAAATATGAAAATTTTAAGACATTTAAAACATCTTTAGAGAATATTAACATGTAAATTGTTTTTATTCGAATGTTATTTGATTTTTGTTTTTTGGTTGTTTTTTTTTCTTGTTCAGGAATTTTAGTTGTGTTTAAGGCAGAGTGGTCAAGATTGTTGTCAGCTTCTTCTTCTTCTTTCTTATGATAAAGCTATATTGTTGGCTGATGGAATGTTGGTGGTTCTACTCATGTGCCCATTTGTGCCTGAAATAACGCACAAAGGGGAACTGGAGGTCTCTCCACAAGTAAAGGTGGAAAGTCACCAAATGACCTATACTGTGTTGGTGTGACATAGAACCAAACAAACAAACAAAAATGAATTAGGAATAATTCTGTTTTATTCATTAGACAACGAAAACTGTGATAGATTTTTGAAAAAAAAAATTTTTTTGCTTTATACACAGTTTGTTAAAGAAATAAGAGATTAAGTGCCTTGATATGAACTTATTTTATATAATGGTGCCTTTAGTGAATGTATGACTTTATATTCATTTTATTTTTTTATTTGTTTTCCATATGACTGTATTAGCTGACAATGAAAAGGCCAAACTAAAATGAATGACATGTACATTTGTACACTGTATTTCTCATTGTCAATGACATTTCATGTGTTTTTCATTACCTTTTTTTATAAATAATATATTTGTCTAGTCAGATATGGGGGAAAGTGCAAAATAGTCTGGAAAAAATATATATGTAAGGTGTAGCAATAGTTAAAATATGAAAATTGGTAAACTTAGCATTCTGAATAGTTGAACCAGAGAGAGAACTCTGTCTCAATGTTAGGTGAGTGAATGTAAGAGTTGTCTTCCTTGATGTTGTATAAGTATGTGCCATGCCTTAACCTGCTGAACTGTTTAAAGCAGCATGCCTCCAGATTCGAGCTAATTTTCATGAAAATTTAGAAAATCATTTAAAATTTATTAAAAAGTAAAATATTGCGAATTGGACAATGAAAATAATTTTGACATTGCAAACAGCACTTACAACCCATGTTAATTAACTAAAAAGAGGTCACAATATGCAAAAATTGCCCTGAGTGAGCAAGGCAGTAGAAATTTGGTGAAAAAAACTGCAAATTCGTTCATACATCATACATAACATCAATATTATTACTTTCATCTTGAATCTTTTTTCTTGTGTTTAAATCTCAGTACTTTTTCCTCAAGTTTGATTTTCTTGAAATATTTTGCATCGTCTGGAGGTAACAGCTTTAATAGATTTGCTCAGCTTTTGAAGCTTTGTAATGGATGTCACTATATAAATACAATTATTGAGCCACAGTTCCGATAGTTTGGAGGCTAGTCAGTCTGTACAGAATGTGCACACTGGCCCAGCTTTACAGTTGTGGCAAAGGTTTCTCACTTTTTCTGGTTCCAGCACTTTATGGGTTAAGTGCATTTATATTTTTGTACTAAGTACATAATTATATATTGCTAAGAATTGATATTTTCATGTGTTATGAGGGATATCTGTTTTAATGTACATGTGGTTTTTTATATAAGGTAGATACATTATTTCGAAAGTTTATATTCTCATTTAATTTCTGAAAAAAAATGTTTGGCCTGTGATTATGTGCAAATTCTACCCCTCTGAAGTTCATGTATAATTGAAATAAACAACATATATTCCTATTATTGTTAGTGATTGAATTAGAAAAAGTATGATAGAAATAACAAAGTTAACCCATGGTTATGAATATCAATTGCACTTCTAAATATTTACATCTTTTTAAACTGTACTAGCAATTTAAATACATGTTTTTCTAAAATTGATTCTTTTTAAATTGTTGTGCATTCATGTACATTCATGACCTTAATTTGAAATTAATGATACAAGTTTAATGCTTTTTTGATCGCCTTTATTTTATTTATGAACATGTAAATGTGCAGGTTGTAACAGTAAGGGAAATGAACACATTTATAACATATTTATTCAGATTTACATTCATGTATATTTTCATGCCTGTTTTAAACATCTTGTTTGTAAAAATAAAGTTTATTTTAATAAAAAATACATTAACGTCTGTTTTTTTGTGTTATTTATTTGTTCTGTTTTTGTGGACCAAAACATTTCTCAAGTATTTTATCATCATTATCTTGTATACATTATATGTCCGCCTGCTCGCCTTTATATGGAGAGCATTTAGTGGAGTGGTGGCCTAGTGGTTAAGGTGTCTGCCTCTTAACCCAGAGATCATGGGTCCAAGTCCTAATCGAATCACGACCATATTTCTTCATAAGACACCAGTGCTGATCGGTTCCAGGAAGCGGAGTCGAAAGTGATTTATATGAGTTGAAAAAAAATTGTTTCGCAATCGAGCTTAAATAAATATGTTTAAACCAGGAAGAGCATATGTTTGTTGGTGGATGGGTCACAAAGAAATGTTCTAATGACATACTCAGATCTCGGGACGTATTTGTCAGAAACCGGCACAATACGAGCAAAGACCAATTAAAAGTCCGAGATCCAAGAGAAATCTCAGCCAAAAGTTTTATAACCTTGAGTTCAGGCTACAAGGTTATAATACTTTTTTCTGACTTCAGTCTCAAATCTCAGGATTTTTATTGGTCAGTGTGCATTCTGAGATCTAAGATAAAAGATTAATAACCTTGAGGCCAGGAGTCGCTGGTTCGATCATCGAGCGAGGCAAAATGTCTCGTCCCAAGGTCATTTGTCTCTCGCCGATGGCACGGATCTTAATATAAATCCGTGCCATTGGTTAAGAAATCATGTGTGATATTTAGTAAATAGCCAATCACTTGCGGAAAAAATGGTTATTAATGGTAAGTAATCCAGGAAAGCCAGTTTGGTGCACTGACCGCCGGTACACGACAAGAATGTGTTAATTTTGGTATAAAATCAGATTAACAATGACGTATCAGAATAATTAATTCACCAGCATTATAAAGCTGACCTAAACATATATTATCCATAAGGCTGTAAGTACTTGGATATCAGCAGATTTTCTTGTTATAAAACTCTATATAAGATATATGTAAATTGTCATTTGGAGCAAGTTTAAAATCAAAGCTTAGTGGCCATTTTAAAGATGAACCATGATACCTCTGTTTTGAGAGCAAGACCTGCGAACTACATGTATTTTGATCCCAGTGGCGGGAGTGCTTGAAAGTCAGACCAGAGTCTGAGCTTATGAAGAACTTTTCTAAGCTCCAACTCAAATCTCAAGTATTTGATTGGTCAGAAATTTGTAGGGAATGTATGCTGACCAATGAAAAACATCAAATTCAGGAATGTGCTTAGAAACACGTTTTAAAGCTAGGTTAGATTATTACTACACATGTAGTTTCAACTGCTTACATTTAGCTTTTTGAAATGGGAACCACACAGTTCTAAAATAACAGACGACAATTCCAACGACGTTAAGTTCAAGGCAGGGTAAAACCATCATACAAATATAGCAATGTATTGGATTAACAACTAAATACTCGGGGAAAATCTCATTTAATAAGTCTTAGTTCTTTACAATGAAGTATTTAATATGGTTTTTATTAGAAGATTCCGTTTATTTTCCGACATTGCACTGAACGCTACCTTGGGAACACGTGCATGAACCACGCCCACTGATTGAGAACGCTGACCCGTGCTGGTATACTCTGAAAAAAGATAGATGTTAGTAATAAAATTGTTATTTCAAACAAAATAAAAACTAGCAGGAATTTGAAACTCAGACATTAAATTTGTGTTGTTTTAATGGTTTTTAAAGCAGTAAGTCATCAGTAGAAGAAGACAAAGTTTTCATTGTACTTCTAAGATGACTATTCCATTCTCATTAACGTTGGGTATATACTGATTACATGTAAATATTTTGGGATAAAACAGTTTATACAGTTTAGTATAAGTCAACAAACAAAATATTTTTCTAGACTTAAACTAATGCATGTATATTTTGTGACTACTACATTAACTTAAGTGTTTATTAATAATATATTAATTTGGTTCTCGAAGGAAAGCAAAACAAGCACTTACAAGCCGTCAACAAAACAGTTGTGTCCTGTGAACGAGCAGATAGCAGCCCCATCATCGCACGTGCACTGTAACCCGTGCACTGTAAAATCCTGTCCGTGTGTGTAGGTACTGGAAATGAACAGACATCAAGAGGAATTAATTTTATATATAGTCATGCCATATTACCATGTTAAAAGCCATATTTCAATGCTTGCAACGTTTTGATATCACAGGGATACCGATCGAAATTGTCAGTATAGTTTTGGCACTATATCAACTAACTTACATCAATTTTACCCTTGTCGTGTTAAATATCTTAATTGTATCATAGTTTAGAGTTAAAATTCTATATGCCCATAAATGCACAGTGCGTTAACTGGAGTGCCGATATTAGTTACCCCTCGCCCCTCGTACAAATCAGATAGCCTCGTGTTTCGATGCATTTCCTATTACATAGACTTGTCAATTTCTTCAAGCTAAACACAACTATTCATTACTTTAAGTGAAAATTAAAAAAAAAAGTGTTGACGGAAAAGGGAACAGTGCAGACCATGATCAAACGATATAAATGTGCCCTGTTATTCTTTGTCTGCACTGGTTGCATGTTGCCTAGGCTAAGGGTTAAGTATCTAATTTCGTGAAACTGCCAATCCATCCCGGGTACCTTATGATAAAATTGTAAAAAGTTGGCATTTTCTTTCCCACCAGGTGCAGGGTCTTTCAAACATCTTTCGCTCTTGCTCAAAAGACCTTTTTGCTCGTGCATAAAAATATGTCTGATGCTGGCAAAAGTGAGATCAATTTATGTGAAATTATTATTATTGCTATTACAATGTATCATCATCATCATTATTCATCATCATCAACAACATCATTATTATTATCTTTATTATTATTATTATTATAATTTTTATTATTATTATTATTATTATTATTATTATCATTATTATTATTATTATTATTATTATTATTATTATTATTATTATAGAAATTGCTTGCTTATATACATGTATATATACTTACACCCCAAGTGTTACACAGTCCAATGCTTGTCCTAAAAAGTATAAAAAAAACATTCTGTTTATTTTTGATTGATTTTATAAAAAATTGTATCGTATCAAACGAAATTTAACGCATTCTGAGTAAAACTTCAGAAAGGTTGTTAAAAAGAATAAGAAATTTTAAAATAAAATGAAAATAATTGTAACACACAGACGATGAACTTTGAACTCGAGAACATTTGAGAAAACAATAAATGTCTGTAATCTACTTATGCGCAAGTCTTTAACATATTCTTGGAAATCGAGCACTAGTTCTGACATATTTTGATACATTTCATAACTTAACAAGATCGAAAAATAAAGAGCAACATAACATCTTAAAAGGTAATAACTTTCTAATCATATATACTAACGGAAAGTAACGAAGAAGCTCTATTGGTGAACTGGATATTTTGAGGCTATAACACTCAAATATTATGATTGAACAGATGAATCTATAGTTACCATTTGGGATATGATGAGCTTGCTTGGTCGCATGCGCAGTGGCACACTGGTCTGCTGGCGATATTGACAAGTAAAAGCTGTCCACCCATGCGATCTGACAAAAAAATCAATTTCGAAGTTAGATTAATTATGTTAACATATGTATTTTAACTGAATACTAGATGATGCACAATAGCAACAAAGTCATGTTTTGCTGTTGGTTTGAAGAATGCTATTTGAAAAAAAAACGTTGTGAAACTACCTGGCCACCTTACGTCGATGTTTGTATCTTAAACCCTTGTGCTTATAAAAAATCTTCAGGAAAATATATTATTTTTACAAGGGATGATATTTTTGTAGTTACTCAGAAAACTATGTTATTTATTTTATTACCCCTAACAAATACTTCATTTGGACACTGCTTCTATAGGTTTTTATTTTTCAGATTTTTACTGTAAAAAAGTACAAGTACTGTAAAAAAGTACACAATTTTTAGTCACATGGTACACTTTAATTAACAGCACGAACAACCCACATAGGACTTTGGGAAACTAACATTACAAAAATAGTGAGGGTTAATAAAAAAACTAATATCGATATGACATAAAATCTAAACCCCAAAAAATATATGAATCTAATGTAGTGACAAATTCTTCCAATGCCGGTATACACGACTATTAAATTTCAAACTATATCACTCATTACCACTACTCTGCTGGTACCTTAGCAAGAAGTGTAGAGTCAGACCAGGCTACACATCCGTGCAGTGTGACCAGGATCAGCTCTAGACGACCGATAGCTTAATTTTGGTATTTTGCTATGAACATCAGCAGCATGTCTCCAAATTCATGCTAAATTTTACGATTTTTTTAAAAAAATGTATTCAAAAGTAAAATATTGTAAAGTAAACAAAGAAACTAATTTACAATTTGCAAACAGCACTTGCAATCCACGTATATTACCACAAAAAAGAGGTAAAAATAAGCAAAAATAGCCTTTACTGCTTTAGTAATACGGTAGTATATATTGATAAAGACTACAAACATGACAAAATCGTTCCTTAATCGCACATAGCATCTAAATTATTACTTGAATTTTTATTTATTTTCTGAAAACCAAAGTACATTTGCTATTTCTTTTATTTTGGACCATCTGGAGGCACGCGGCTTTAAACTTTGCCAAATTCTGTTCCAAATTCAAAGCAAGACCACTCCATTACAAAAATTCAGCAGGATAAGTTTCAGTAGTTCACTGTACAGTATAGTTAGTTTCTTGAATCACTAATAAAAGCATACTTGTCCATTACTGTCATCTTTCAGTTCATAATATGTGTCACCGTTACTATGGTAAATTCCACCACTTGACGTGAAGCACGCGCCATTTGCCAATGTTCCTATCGTGGAGGCTAAATTCGCCGCTAGAAGGATTATATTTCATTGTAAATTATCAAAATGAATACATTAAAAAATACATAAAATATGTACAAAAATACATCTGATAAATGAATCAATGCAAGCAAATAAGCAATTATAAATAAGCATTATATAACTCAGCCGTTGCCTAAAATGTCTAATTATGATTCATACGACGTTGAGATCATTTTCTTCATCTAAATTTCAGCTCTCGTACCGTTTGCTCAGTAAGAAAGGGTCATACATCAGTCACTTGTAGCCTCCGCCCATCCCAAGGAAAACGGACCCCCTTCCCTCCTTCCGTCAAAGACCACACTCTTTTCGCACTTTCGGTGGTGAAATCCCGGCTGTACACGCCGACATAATAAAACCAAGGCATTAACGCTGCAATGCGAGGGCAGACAGAGTCATATAGTGGCCTTTTTACCCTCGCTATAACCCGAACTGTCAGGACGGAGCTGCAATTTTCTGGCGCCTTATTCGGAGTCTTTTTCCCTCGTAAACATTTGTGTTGACTTTAGAATTATTCTCCTTCTGATGTAAAGAAGTGGCTGTAATTTTTGAGTACATATTAATACTGCTATAGACTCAAGACCTTCCAGTAACTTAAATTTGTATATGGCTGAAGTTTTTCTAAACCAGTGCTAAAAAACAACATCTAAAGAAACTATTTAGTCATTTCTACATTCCTAATGTTTAGTTTAGCTTTTCCTAAAATATACCATGATCTATCAAACAGTCAATAGCTCCAATTGGTTTTGTGATAAAAACACAGTCATATGTTATAGATTATTTATAATGAAACATATTATTAAACATTATTCATACTTATGGAAAGCCACAATTGTCAAATTAATTGTGTAATATCATAAAACGTAACAACGTAACGCAACATGCAACATTTCAATATGTCTCTTACTAATACAATGGTTTGTACTCACGATCTTTCACGGCGACCACGTTCGGTTCGTTGACACACAAACAGACACCCTGGTTCAGTGACAGGGTAATTTTCCCACACTCTGTCACCAACAAAATTGCGGAGAATACAAAAATGCTGAACATAAAAAAGTATTTTGTAAAGGGTACTAACTGCCCCTTTTTATTCTTCAATTTAAAAAGATAAAAAACATAGGTCAGTATAATTTTGAAAACCGTCCTAATCTTTTAGTCATTTAATACATTTAATTGATATAAAATTTTTTGTAAACAAAAAAAACATGTGTTTTATTTAATTATATGAATAAAATATACTAAACAGAAAATGCTATGCCACTTTGGAAAGCATAGATATTCTTAATTTTTTTTTGTGACCGTAGAAGACGAGTGATAATTTGGGACTAAAAAAGACGGGCGGAGCTAATTTGGTCTAAGTGTTTGCAAGCAACGCGAATATTTTAAAGGTTAGACTTTAGTCGTCAGAATTTACTCTATTAGAGCACCCCCATGGTGGTCTCTCGACGCCCAAATGTTTGCGGTCACCGAAAGAACATGCTCGGCGCATAGACTTGAGCCAAACAATTTTCAACGACAAAACCCTGCCCTAGTCAAATCCTCGACATGTGCGCAGTATGTTTTAGCATTCAATTAACGAAATCTTGACATGCGCAGTGCATCGGCTATAGCCAAACCCGAACCCTGACTTTATAAATAGTGTCTTCGACTTTCTACCACGGAACCAGACATTGTTGCAATTATATCTCATCCTCGTTAATCGATATCTGATGAAGGCCTTTATCTTTATTTTCTCGTCAGCTTTTTATTTTTGGTGTCCAAAACGTTACTTATTGACCAATTACCTGAACTTATGTATTTTTTTCTTTCTTTTTTTCAATTAGTAAGTTAAAGTGAGTTAATATTTTGTATGAAAGTCAAAATACTACTTTGTATACATTTTGATACGTTATTATAAACAACTGCACATTAAACGCTTATGTCTTCAGATAATAAATATCCAACATGCTCTTAAACTATAAAACTCATGTTGACCCTTTCTATAAAAGGAAAAAAAGTATTCTTTCTTAGGAATAATGTGCCACGCTGTAACTATTTAACAATCACGCCAGCAATAGCGCTGAAAATATTTAACAAACTTAACCAGCCACAACGCTCACCTGAGCAAACTAAACAATTAAGTGAGCTATTTTGAACAATCCTAGCCAGCAAAAATGCTTTATCTAGTCAACTAAGCCAGCAATAAACTTAAATTAAAGTGCTCTTTTTAGCAAATTAAGTCAGTAATTATAGTAATCTATTAAACGAACAGTCAGCAAAAGCAGACTGAGCAAACTAGGTCAGCAACAATTCTGTACTAGTATTTAGCAATCTAACCAGCAAAAGTGATTTTTGGAGCAAACTAAATCAGCAAAAATGTTCTTTTGAGCAAATTAAATCAGGAAAAGTGTTTTCTTGAGCAAACTAAAATAGCAAAAGTGCTCTATTGGGCAAACTTAATCAACAAAAGAGCTTTCTTGAGGAAACTAAATCAGCAAAAGTGCTCTTTTTAACAAACTAAGTCAGCAAAGGTTCCCTATTGAGCAAACTCTGCCAGCAAAAGTGCATTTTTTTAGCAAAGTAAGACAGCAAATGTGCTCTATTGTGCCAACTAAATCAGCAACAGTGCTCTTTTGAGCTAACTAAGCCAGTCCAAGTGCTTTTTTAGCAAAACTAAATCAGCAAATGTTCTTTATTGTGCAATCTAAGTCAGCAAAAGTGCTCTTTTGAGCAAACTTAATTATTGATCCATTTCTATCTCCGCATTCTTTGTCTTTCAGTTCATTTCGGTAAATCCGAGAGCTTTCCGCGTAACGCTCGAGGCTTTGTGAATGAGCAAATTTTCCCGCGCCCTTAAAGCGAAACCTGAACCCTGGCCTATTTCTGACATTCATCGTAACTTTCTTGACAAGTCCCTTAAATGAGATTAACACACAATATGGTCACTGATCTGCGGTAAAACAAGAGTTGTCCGTAAGGCAACGCGCTCGACTATTCCGGGTGCAAGGCAGTAAGAAAAGAGGGATAACTCTGCAAAAAGGGACCTGTGACCCTCATGTCCAGATAATCATGGATAAAAAGTGTGGTGAAGTTTCAGCTCAGTGGTTTTGGAGATACCAACTAGCATGCAAAACTTTAACCAAAGTGTGACGCCGACACCGACGCCGAGGTGAGTACAACAGCTCTCCCTATTCTTCTTGATTTGATGGTATAACATTTGTGGGGGAAATGATTAACAAAGTCATGATGAAAATACGTGTGCCTTTATTGATTTTCAAACAAATTAACGCTAACAAATAAATCACAACTATCTGAGTACCTGAGTTTTTATGATAAAAAATTGTTACAAATAATACAAAAAAAAAGGATTTCTGTATCTCCATTTTTTCAATGTTTTCAACAATAACAAAATATCTCCATTTTTTCAATGTTTTCAACAATAACAAAATCTAAGTATTGATGATTCAAGACTTGGCGTTCATACTTAAAATAAAATACAACACAAAATGAACGGACACTTAAGAATTCTTGAAATGCAAACAACATCAATAAATCTAAGATCGTTCAAGTAAACATCGTTGTAAAATAATACATAGTCAATAAAGAGATATTTTTATTATAATAAAACGTATTGTTTCCAATTGAATTGTTAAAATTGAATGTTTAGTTGGCCGGAAAACTTGTGCATTGTTTCTAACGTTTAATATTCTCCTTGTTTATTTCTGTTCCTGAGCCAAATACAAGAATTCTAAAATAAGTTAAATATTTTTTTCTTATGTTAAAATTCCTAAAATGTTCGATCATCGTAAGTTGATGATATAGCATTTATTACATGAAATCTGTCGCGCGGCTACGCTGTACCATACCCTGTAATCCATTAATTTCATTAAAGCCGCATGCTTTCAGATGAAAGTAAATATTTCGAGAGAAAAATGAACTTAAAGTTTAATAAAAGATTCAACAGTCAAGTAAAATTATACTTGTAATATTGAGTAATGACTGCTTTTGCAGAACATGTATTTATCACCATATATCCACTGCGTGACTAACGCATGCAGTAAGGGCTATTTTGTTGCATATTTTAAGATCTTTTTTTTTTTTTTTTGGTAACGTGCGCCATGTGGCAATTGCATTCTAAGTTCACTTTACGATATTTTACTTTTACAAACACTATCAAAAATTTTCATGAAAATTAGCATGAATCTGTAGGCATGCACCTTTCATTCCAACAATAATAAACATATTGTAGTATTTTACAATCTTTAGTGCGTAGATCGATTTAACATACAACTCTTTTTAATTACAACATGTACAATGCTATTTATCTTTTATTTTTACTTTTGAAACTTGATTAGTTCCCTCGTAAACTATACATCAATAAACATATTAACACTTCAACAAATAAATCTCTAACTTTAACAACGAAACTTGAAAATTAATGATTCTACTCCTCGTAATTTAAGATTTCAACAAAAGAAAAGATGAAAAATAAACAATATAAACTTAAAATATTCAAGACAACATAGTTAAAACAAGTCCGTCTACTCTTATAATTTTGAATTAGTGACGTCAAATTTACTTATGACGCTCGGATATTATTTGATATCGTTTACGTCATCTTATCTTAGATGACACTTTTATCATTTTTATGACAGATACTTGAAAGATTTTTAGATTCATCTATCTAAACATAGTTTTTCGTAATGTCCGTGAGCTATAATAAAGAGGTAAAAATCATAGACCATCAATTATTGAAATGATGCGGGCGCTTTTTCTTTAGAAATCTTACTGTCTTCAGAGAATCGTGTCCCTCTCTTGGGGGACTGGTAGCACTTTTTTCTAATTCAACATTTATTATATCCAGTCATTTTCAGATAAATCCCTATAGAAATATCATGTTCGATGAGGTATCAGGGTTGTTGTCTCAACAGTACGGAATAGACGAGTCGTTTATCTTTCGAGAAAATTAAACACTAAGAGTTACATACCAGTTTTTGCATTCTTTCAACTTGGTCTGATAAAATTTGGAGTTTGCATTTTATGTCAGAATTATAAAGTTCATTTCCACACTTTGTCAAATCTATTGGGTCGTCAGAAATATCAGATTTTCCATAACTTGACATTTGACCCTCCGTTGACAAATTATTGTTTCGTCTGTCGATAATTTTTTTGTCGTCTGCTTCATATTTCAAAGCACTACTTTCTGTGGAGTAATTTCTTTTCATAGATAAGTCTGCCGGTACCGTATTATCATTAAACATAGTCCTTTTTCTTTTATTCCCGTAGAAGGGTCCATTCTTATCACCGCTTTCTTTGTCATTCAGTTCATTTCGGTAAATCCTAGAGCTTTCCGCATAACGCTCGAGGCTTTGTGAATGAGCAGGAGTTACTGCCCATACAACTGCGTCTTCCATAGGTGTATAGGCGGATTCCGCTAGACTTTCAGCGCGTGAGTTATCGTTCATCGAGTTACTGGAACAGTCGCTATAGTCCGAGGTATCAAAATTTGAGGTATCCCGTTGATTGTTTGAACTTTCAAGAAAACTGAGTGTTCGTTTGCATTGGTGAAGGCATTCTTCGCGGTCAGATGAACTAAGAATGCTTGCATCTTTTGGTATGTTGAATCTTTCCTTCAACAGATCCAGTTCCCTTTTCAAAAGGCAATTTTCTTCCTCAAGGGCAACAACTCTAGCTCTAACCATACATTCGTACTGACGTTTATTCTCGCGAGACTTCTTGGCGGCCAAGTTGTTTCGCTGCCTCTTCTGCCAGTAGCTGTTGTCTTTCTGAGTATCGGGTACAAGTTGTTTTGCACGGCGCTGTTGTGATATTGGAATATGCGCAGATAGCACGTTTCTATTCATCGTGCGTCTAACTGAAAATAAAGTGAAAAAGTTCAGATTCAAGTATTCAAGAATCCGACATTTTAAAAGTATTCAATGTTTGTGGTTATTAGTAATTCCCCTTTTAAATAAACGAAAAAAATCAGAAAAATAGGTTATACAAAATCAGTTCTTTAGTTAGGGTTTTTTGTTTATTTTTTTATTTTTTTTAAATGAATAGATTTTATTTTTTTTTATAAAAACTCATACATCACAATTTTTAATATATTAAATAAAAACAAATTTAAGCGCTATATTTAATATTTCCGAAGCATTTTTGCTGCTTTTTCCCCCAAATTTAAATTTCGATTTTTTTTTTATTTTATTTTTATTCTTTGAATTTTTTTTTAAAAAAAAAAAAATTACGGGTATATCCTGGTAACCCGACGTGATGTAGTCGGAAAAAAATCAAGGGGAACAACGATGAGAAGTATGTATACGGAAAATGCTCCGTGATTAACGGGACATTCTTTGGCGCCAAAAAATTCCCAATTGTTAATAATTTTCCTGCTTTGAATTTGGAAAAGTTTGAAGTTTCAGGCATTTTATAATCAATCAAAAATACCTCCTGATAAGTGCACAAAACGTTTTAGGGCTTATTCAAAATAAATATTGCTTTAAAATTTCAGTTTTTACCCGCAAATTTAAATTTTCAAAAAATAAAAAAAAAAAGATGGGTTCCAAAAACAAAATTAAAATTTTAAAAAATTTTTATAAAAATTTTATAAAAAATTTACTTATGTAACGTTGTTCAGGTATTTAAACCGGAATAATACAAAAAGGGATATTTTTGTATGAATGTACTTTAGTTATATAACCAATGTATGGAGTTCCCGGCATTATAAATGAATTGTTAGTATTGGGAAATACTGACAAAATTCAACAAATTAATAAACGGGTAAAACCTCGCGACGGGTTCGTCACTTTTTAGCGCTAGTAACCTGTTTTTAAACCCCACAGGTTTATATTTCACATTAATTTTTAATGTTATTATTTTACACGGGTATTTAAACTTGATTTAATTATGAAAAAGGGAAAGGGGGGGAAATCACTTGAACCAAAAGTTTTTTAAAGTTTAAAAGTCCCCTATTTCAGTAACTTTTATTTTGAAATTTTTTGAAAAAGAAAAAAATTATAAACAAAATTTTAAGTTTTAAAAAAAATATTCTTTTAAAAATGAAGCATTTTCCTTAAACCCAAAAAATAGGTAACAATAAAAAATAATAAAAAAGATATTTTAAATTAAAAAGGATTACTGTTTTTGCTTCCCCGGAAAAATTTAAAAATAAACCAAATACAAAAAATAAAATAATATAATAAAAATATAAAAATAATAATAATATAATAATAAAAAAGACTAATTAAAAATTGGAAAGATAGGTTAATTTTAAAGGAGAAAAATGTTAAAAATTATGAAAAAAAACTCTTTAAATGAACATAAATTTGTAACTTTTATAAAGTATAACACACTTACATTTACAGTCCCAAATTTAATTATAATCAATAAAAATTTACGCCGTTTTCCTAAATGATTTGACAATATACACATTATTATAAAAACATTTATATTTATAGCTTTTATATCAGTATTTTATTAAATTATATGTACTATTTAAGGTAATGAATATTTATTCCCCTTGGGGCTTTCAAAAAAATAAAAAGTAGGTAAACTTACATATTTTAAAAATAGGCGGACTACTTTTTGAATATTTAAAAAAAATTGATAATTTTAAAAAATTTGTTTTGTTTAAAAATTAAAATAACTTTCGCCTAAAAAAGTTTTTATGATTATTTAATTTTTTTTTATATTTAAACTCTGGGAAAAAATTTTTGATTTTTAAACCAATATTGCAAAAACCAGTACTTTAAAATCTCAATTTGGTTTTGGAAAAATCAAGTTTAATCTCCCCAAAACTGGGGCCCTAATAGTTAAAACTGTGTATAAATTTTCCCTCTTTGCACCCTTTAAAAAATTTATATTTACTTTTAAAAAAAATGACCCAAAAAAACATTTCCCATTTACACTACCCTTTATATATCGGGACATTTTTCCCCCCTCATTAATACTTTTAGTTCTTTTCTAAATCGGATCTAATCTAGTAGAACCCGGGGCAGAAGTTCATTTGTAGTTTCCCCGGGATTAAGTTAAAAAAGGGGTTTTCTGGCAAAACCCACAAAAAAATTTTTAAAAAAATTTTTAAATGTTTTTATTTCTTACCCCTTGAAAATTTCACTCCCCTTTAAAAAAAAACCTAAAATTTGATAAAACGAAATTATTTTTTTTTAGACCGACAAAAAACACAACAACAGGGATTCTGTCTGATTATTATTGGGAAAAGAACGCTGCCGGGCCCATATATATTAATCATCAATTAAAATTTAAATTTAAACCCTTTTTAAAAAGGAAATTTTAATATTTCCCCCCCCGCCCCTGTTATATTAAAAAAATTAAAAGCGCACTTATAGCAATTGGTTTAAAACAATTTAAAAAAATTGTAATTTGACGTAGTGGGTAAAAGGGTGAAGAAGGGAAAAGGGGGGGGGGGATAACTGCGATTTTTAACATTTTCAGAACTTCCCCCGTTATTACAAGTCATTTTGGGGTTTAAATTTAACAATTTTTCATAGTTTTTTTATGGTCAATATAAGATTTTAAAAAAAAAAATTAGACCAAGCCTTCCTTTAATACTAGTAAAATTTTAGTCAAAATCATTTTTATTTTTTTTTTATGCTCACCCCAGCCCGGGATTTAGGTTTTTTAAATGTCTTTGCAAAAAAAAACACTAAAAAACGAAGGGGTCACCCTAGTGTATGTCCTTCTTAATTTAATAGGAGTTAAAGATCCTGTAACTCATTTTTTATGGTCTTATATCATAAATATAATGCTCAAATGAAGATTTAGATATTGCAAGTTCCAAAAAGCATTATTTGTAAAGATATTACCAAATTTACATTTCATATTAATAAAGGGAGGTAATTAGAAATTTATTTTCTATAAAGTCTAAGTCAAAGTTTTCAATAAGATATTTCAATGATCAAATATAATGATGACAAATATTTGTAGTACATATTTTACATATTCTTCGATGTTTGAAAATTGTTTTGGAAGCATAATTACATACATATATAAAACTTCACTCAAGTGTGGTAACAACCTTAAAACAGTATACAGGATCCTTAAGCAGTTATTGCACTAATGTGAATTGGTCGTCAACGTTTTTAGGACGCGTTGGTGGATAAGTCATAATATAACAAGAAGGGGTCAAGTTTCAACTGGGTCAAAATTTAATGCTTCACCTGCGCCAGTGACTTCAGTGATGACAGAGATCTAAAATTTACGGATTACTACAGGTCGGTTATAAAGTTGATTGGTACATTAACATCACGCAAATAAGGACAATACGAAATTACTTTCCATTTACTAAAGTAAAGTCAAGATACTATCAGAAAAAAAAATTTGTTTCGTTTTTTTCCAGTTAATAAAATAGATTGAACGTGTTAAATCCATAAAAATGATTGTTTTGTTAAGTTCAAAAATAACTAGATAATACATTTTATCATTTACGGTCACGCAAGTCAAATACCGACCTTGAAAATGTTACAGGCGTCCAAACTAGCCCGGTCGCTGTTGTTTGCAGAAAATTCAAATGTATTTTTCATGACAAAAACGCTCTAAATTTAAGTTGCTTACATTCTATTCTAAAATCAATATCACTCTTGTAACAATTTTTTATTCTAGACGTACTTTTTTGTAAAGTTTAGGCGTTAAAAGAACCATGTTAACGTTATTGAAATATAAATTTGCAATATTTTTTCAAGATAGGAAAGTTACCAATGTGGAAGATAGTTACATACAGTAAACATGGGTGTCACGACTAACCGAAATACCGAAACACTACCGAAATACCCCCAGAAACATCTGTTGACCATTTTAAAACCTTATACTTGAGGTTTTATCACGCATTGATGTATACAAATTGATAATCTCCTGTATGTTTTTACATTTATGTATTTTAATAGTTTGAATATGTTAAATTTATATTGTTCCTTGTTGAGGGCCTCATGGGTAATTGATATGTTTGTTCAAATGAGTTCTCTCGTTAAATAAAGTCTTTATTATTATTATTATTATTATTATTATTATTATTATTATTATTATTATTATTATTATAGTCGGAATACCCGATAACAGATATAAGAAAGCCGAAATACCTGGTAGTAATGAGGTAATAAATCAATAATTACTCAATTAAAAGCGCTTATATACTGTTCCAAAGGTCAAAGTATATGTTTTCTTTACCGAAATAAATAAATCAATTGATGCCTGATTTCATTTCGTCATGTCGTCATGATATCCACAACATACACAATAACACAGAAAAAAAAGTACATGTATAACTGAGTTAAAAGAGCCGGATTTTTTTTATATTTCGTCGTTCTTAGCGATAGAATTCTTTTCAACCTTCTGTTTTCTAATGATTCCAAACAATCTGTGACATAAAAAAAATATTCACATATATCAATTTTAAAGGGACTCCACTGAGGTTTTTTGACATGATGGGACTGAAAATATTTTTTTCCAGATAAATGTACTATTTGATGTAGGTGTAGACCTCGAATCTTTGTGCAAACTTTCAAATCATTCGCGCACTTCGTTTTTCCATAATAATTATTCAAATTGTAAAGAAATGACCCAAAATGAAAAGCGTTTAATTAGGCTAAGAAAAGCATAAAACTACGATTTTCGATTTATTTTAAGGTATATTTCTTAACTATCTTTGCATATATTTCTGTTTAAAGCGCCTCAGTTCATTAAATTTATATAAGAAATTCTAATGTTATGTTTTTAGGCTTTTAAACCTCAGTGGAGTCCCTTTAAAGACATTTTACTTACAAATCAGCGTTATTGCAATTTGTATTGTCTCGATTTCAAAGCAGTAATTAGATGATTATTTGGTGAAAACTTGCGGTATTCCGGCCCGAAAAAAGTATCGGGAGTATTTCGGCTCCTTTAATCTATCATTTATGGGTATTATCTATTATCGGGTATTCCGAGGGTATTTCGGTAGTGTTTCGGTATTTCGGTAAGTCGTGACACCGCAGTAAACATAATTTAAAATAAAATGAAGTCCATGAATTCTATGAGAGTTTATTTTATATGGAAATAAAGGACACCCCTATATCTATGAATTTAATAGTGATGACACAACAGTTTTAAACATATGTGTGTGTGGGTGTGTGTGTTGTGTGTGTGTGTGTGTGTTTCGGTTTTGTTTACCCTCGCCACCGAAAAGAGACCATATGGGCGAGCATAATACTTCATTTATAACCCTTTAAAAAGGGGGAGCTGATGTTTAATTACTAATTGTTATATCCGTACATTGTGTTTTAATGTGCAATATACCATATCCCCCATTGACAGGGTAGTCTCTACGTACAACCTCTGCCATGGGAGGAAGATGGGGCAATCCCATACTAAGTTTGAGAAATCTAAAATTTTAATAATTTAAAAGCACTGTAATTTAAAATCGGCCAAGACGTTTATATAAGTTACCGTCTTTTAAACAGGGCTAATTAATATTTAATATAAATAAAATTTTTTAGAGATTTACATGTATAATTGTAGAATTCGCATACTTATGTGCGAGAAGGCATGTCAGGAACGTTTTCTGACCATTCATTGTGGGCTGACTGTTATTTATGTTGGTTTCTATTTTTAAATGTTATAAACCGTATTAAATTGGGATGCATATCAATTAATTACATGTTGTAATTAGCCACAGTTTTTTTTTTTTTAATTTATAAAATTTTTTTAAAGTTCTACCGAACACCCGCTTTATAACTGTTAATTTTGATTTTGTTTTTTAGAGAAGATTGCCTCCTTTGTCCTCATTGTCTAAAAAAAATTTTCTTTTTCTAAATAAGGAGGTCAATCCGATTTCTTGAAGTTTGTGCAAGTTTTTCTGTTGGACCTATTTCGGACAAGTTTGTCGCGCGAACTGGATAGAAATTTTGCGGGTGCCCGGTTGCATTCCAATGTATACGAGTTTTTACCAACTTTATTTCTAGTTAAAACAAATATTAATAATTAAAATGTGGTGGAAACGCGCCTTATCTATTTATCACTTGTCCATGGTCTATAAATTATTATGCATCTAGATATCACACATAATAATTAATCTTCTATAACTTAAACAATTCATAGAAGAATTAGAAAAAAAAAAACCAAGTCCCCAAATATGGCTAATAATATAATAACTTGGTTACCAATTAATGTGGATAGATTTAGTCTTTTTGTAAACATATTAAGAAAAATCTCATGCTTGAGTGAACCCGTGATAAACGTATTGCTCCATATGGGGCACGGGTTCACGTTTTACTAGTATTAAGGATACTAGTTTCATATATATACAGGATTAAAAAAGAAAGATAATAAATAACCACGGGGGGGGGCAAAGGGATATATACAATATGGAGTCTTTTTGACATTGATAGGTAATCTGTAGCCAGCACCTCCCAATTTTGAAATAAACCACGAGGACTGTATATGGTAAAAATAGTCTAGTGCACAGCCTCTTTAAGAAATTATTCAATTAAAATTAAAAACGGCAATTAAAATTACAAAATAAATAAATAAATAAATACACTTCTTAAATAGCACCGTTTCACGGCCGCTTATTAGGGCCACTTTTAAATAAACACTTAAAATAAGTTTTGTTACACTTTATACAATGGCTGTGCACTGACTCAAAATTTAACACATAAAAATATATGGTTCGAAAACTTACATACAGTATTCTATACTGTACGTATATAACCTAGGCAACTACCCCTCGCGTATTGTTAATATGTTCGCGTCTTAACCTAATACATCAAAATAGTTTTGTCTAGTTAGACTACCTTGTATTTATCTTATAAAGTTTCATTGTACGGCATTGATTATATTTTAATACATTCGCCTTTTTGCTGGAGAAAATGTGAGCTCGCGGACCACGCACTGATAAATCATTCAAACCTTTATCAGAATCGGATAGATGGACCAACCACTATGGAAAGCCTTGACTGTCTTATGATTGTAAAAATAAACGTTGTTGTGTCACTCTTTCTTTATACGATGTGCACTCATGAATATATTATATAGATGCATCCTTATATGAAGTCAACTGAACAATATATGATGTCAATGTGTCCTTATATGATGTCGACCAATCATTATACGATGTGCATTTATGAATATATGATCTGGTAGAATCATTATATACAGTCAACTTATCAATATATTATGCCAATCTTTCATTATACGACGTGCATCTATTATTATACGATGTGCATTTATGAATATATCATGTGGTTGCATCATTATATACAGTCAACTTATCAATATATTATTTCAATCTTTCATTATACGATGTGCATCTATTGTTATACGACCGCTGCTTTATATGAAGTGCAAACATCATTATATGGTGTGCATTTGTTATTATACGATGTGCATCTATTATTATACGACGTGCTTTTATTATTATACGATGTGCATTTATGAATATATTATGTGGTTGCATTATTATATACAGTCAACTTATCAATATATTATGTCAATCTTTCATTATACGATGTGCATTTGTTATTATACGATGTGCATCTATTATTATACGACGTGCTTTTAATATTATACGATGTGCATTTATGAATATATTATGTGGTTGCATCATTATATACAGTCAACCTATCAATATATTATGTCAATCTTTCATTATACGATGTGCATTTGTTATTATACGATGTGCATCTATTATTATACGACGTGCTTTTATTATTATACGATGTGCATTTATGAATATATTATGTGGTTGCATCATTATATACAGTCAACTTATCAATATATTATGTCAATCTTTTATTATACGATGTGCATCTATTATTATACGACGTGCTTTTATTATTATACGATGTGCATTTATCAATATATTATGTGGTTGCATCATTATATACAGTCAACTTATCAATATATTATGTCAATCTTTCATTATACGATGTGCATCTGTTATTATACGATGTACATTTATGAATATATTATGTGGTTGCATCATTATATACAGTCAACCTATCAATATATTATGTCAATCTTTCATTATACGATGTGCATTTGTTATTATACGATGTGCATCTGTAATTATACGATGTGCATCTATTATTATACGAGGTGCATCTATTATTATACGATGTGCAATTATGAATATATTATGTGGTTGCATCATTATCAACTATTAGTCAACTTATCAATATATCATGTCCATCTTTCATTATACGATGTGCATCTGTTATTATACGATGTGCATCTATTATTATACGATGTGCATCTATTATTATACGATGTGCATTTATCAATATATTATGTGGTTGCATCATTATATACAGTCAACTTATCAATATATTATGTCAATCTTTCATTATACGATGTGCATCTGTTATTATACGATGTGCATTTTTGAATATATTATGTGGTTGCATCATTATATTATATAAAACCATCCTTATATAGAGTCAAATAATCGATATATTATGTAAATGAGTCTTTATATGATGTCCATTTTTTCTTTAAACAATGTGAACCTATGAATATACATGTATTATAGGGAAACATCTACACATGTATTCAATTTCATAGACGAAAAAAACGTTATTTTCCAACAGACAATGGAAGAAATTTTAGTTAAATGTGGGTTTGGAACCTACCAAATAAGGCTATTTAGAGAGCAGAAGATTACTCCAGATATTATGCCGTTACTTTCACTTTATGACTTTAAATGTTTGGGTGTAACAGAAAGATATGAGATCATGAAACTGCGAGTGGAATGTGTAACTTTCGGAAGACATATCAACAAACCAGTGCAGCGTGGTTTTAAGATACCAAAAATAACTATTGAAAGTCTTCTAGAATCTGGATTTTCAATTGTTAACATCAGCCAACTTCTTGGTGTATCGGAAAGCACAATTTATCGAAATATGCGACGACACGGAATTTCAAAATATGCTTTCACCAGTATTGAAGATCATCAGCTGGATGTGGTCATGGCAAAGATCCTAGAAGAATTTCCAAGGTGTGGAGAAATGATGTTGAGGAATCTGCTAGGTGAAAAGGGTATTAAGGTATGTAGATATACATGTACTATGCAATACTAGTTAATTCTAAATTCCTTTTCTAAGAGCGTGTGTATACCAACGCCAAACCTCATTTATATTGAAATTTTGGCCAAGTAAAGTAAGTGCACAAAGTGGAAAGCCTTAAAAAAAGAATGGTACGAGTATTATAGGAAAAGGGGTCATAAACAACACTGACAAAAACTTTGGACTTAAGATTCGTTACGGTGTCGTTAAGGTCTGCACTTGAAACAGCTAGCTTTGGTATAAATCAAATGTTCGGATTTTATAGTACTTAAAAGATTATATAGACGTATTAAGGAAATATACAATAGTATAACAAAATTTAATGCTTGTTTTAAAACCTAAGATTCAGTTATATTTTGCAATCAACCGATAAAAATGCCTATTGTGTTTCATTGGCATTTGTCACGAAACTTTATCATGCTGTAAGATTAACTGTCCATTATGTGTGTTGATCAATACATTTGTAAATTATCCACCAGCCTTTCAAAATGTATAATGTCTATAAATACTGTAATATGGTGATACAATGTTGTTGTTTTTTTAATCACAGATACAAAGATTTCGTGTCAGAGATGCTCTAAAACGATTGGATAGTGATGGTGTACAAGAACGGAAGAGGAAGCGACTTAAACGGTGCAAGGTCCAAATGAACTGTGGCACATTGACACAAACCATAAATTGATCCGGTGGAACTTTATAATTTGCGGTGGTGTCGATGGTTTCAGCTTGATGTACTGAATGAGAAACATTTGTATGCATTACATCACGTCTATTTAAGCAGTATTAACAAACGTTTGCATTTGTGGAGGTCTGCATGGATTAGCCATAGAATTAGAACGGTAAAGTCATCACCACTCAAACTCTTCACTGCTGGGATGCTGAACAATCCCCCTGCTGAGCCAACGCATGACATTGGTATTAGACAAATAACTGACTCAGACAGCGAGGTTGATAGCCCAGATGAGTACCGCATGAACAGACCGTTAGTTAGGTTTCCTAATTTGAATTTAAGTGAAGAGTGTTTGTCCCAACTGGATGAAGAATGTCCACAGGACTGGACATCAGACAACCACGGAATCGACGTCTTAATGAAGGCGACAACGATCTTAAGTAGATTTTAGAATATATATGTGGTATTAACGAACGTTGGCATTTGTGGCGGTCTCCATGACATAGCCATACAATTCGCACGGTCGAGTACATTTTAATAGTGTATTATGTAATCAGTTTTACGAATAATGTTGGATCATAAGTAAACGGACATGGTAAAAACAATGCTAATAACTTATGACCTGCAGATCTTACTTGTAGGATTTTTGTTGTCTCGCCTCCAGATATGGTTAAATGTATGAAAAATAAAGAAATGTTCTAAATAATTATTGTAAAACTATACAAATTAAGCAAAAGTGTATCTTAGAAATTGATCCAAACACATATAATACCCCGATTCTCTTTTAATCAAGCGATAGAAATACTGAATTATGTCAAACTATATATGGGTTCGTATATGTGGAACAATATTTATGTTTTGTTAACATATAGATGAACTGTTATCTCATTTGGAATTTAAACATTTCTCTGCTTATCTTGAGACATGCATATTAAATGGTCATTTCTGTTGTAGTGTACCAGCATTGAAAAAGTTACACTTCTAAAGTTGTACAAGCATATTATAAATGTTAAGTGAGTATCAATGGCATAAATAATAATAATTTTTGACTTATTTGGTGTGGAACATAGAAATATTCCAATAAATGCATTCCCAGAAGCAAAACTTGTGAGCTCTTGAAAGAAGCAGTAGCTACATTATCATTACTGAGATTTTTGCACGCAAATATATAATTGTATATATTAAAATATAAATGGGTTTTTATTTATGATCATGTTCTTAGTCTCTCATAACTCTCTTCACTTATTTCTTTTATAACTTTGTAATATTTGTTAATGTATGTACAAAAGTGAGACTTAAACAAACAAATTGACTTGACTTGACTATAAACAAAAATATTCATCACGAGCTGGCTGTAGGACCATGCGCTCGACTATTGTCAGTGCTGCATAGTTAACAGGAAGTATCTTTAAAAAAGATACTCGACCGAAGTCAAACTTGCATATGATAATCTACCACTAACTGCAAACAGAACTTCTTTTCGTCCTCACTATTTTCCTTTCAGTTCATTTTTCCCGTAATGTGTTTTTTCCATTAATTGTCACTAGTGATTGGATATCGGTGGCAGAACTGCAACTGATATCAGTTAGAATCGGTTAGTAAACCAATGCGATATATCGGAAAAATAATCGGTTAAATGTTATTTAATATGTCTCTTCAGATAATTTAAAAGTGACTGTTTTAATAAAAAATCTAATGATCTTTTGAAAGAGATGGGAACTCAAGCCTATATGTTATTCAGGTGGTTTCAGGTTAACAGGAATTTGTTTAGTAATCACTAAAGAGTTGCAAACAAGGAAAGCTTGGACACCACAATTAATTACAACCTAGGGTATACATAGCTGGCATTTGAGAGAATTGACTTCTCTTTACAATCCTAACATTCCGTTTAAAAACAAACAACAAGACAGTTAACATCTTATTTATATTTATTTGTTTTCTAGACAATTAGCAAAGAACAGCATTAATTTATTCACATAAAAAACTGTTTTACACTTTTACATGCACATTGAATGTGTCTCTAAAATAATCAAGTTACATATAAAATAAAGTTCTTTCAACTTATATTGCATAATGGATACGGAAATGTCCCAGCATTTTTGTCCCTTGTCGACAGATAGATTCAATAGGACATACCGTTACAAAATATGAAAATCTATCAAAGTTTTGCTTATTCTTAGGAACTTATTGTTTGACGCTATGGGCGCCGCCATATTGACAGTTGTGCCTAATTGTATGCTGTTTAGTCAATTTTCATAATTTTGATAATTGCAATGAAATAATAATGCTTCGTTGGCTGGCATACTTCAGTTTCACCTGTTAAGCATTAATCATCTGATATTTCGGGTACTTTAAACTTGTGGACATAAGTGGGGAGAATATATAAGCAAAGCTCTTGAGTTCCAAAATATAATACTGAAGTCTAACATTAAAGTACTTGACGGGAAATTTCAAAAGATTCGACTATACTACGGAATGCCGTTAGGGCCATCGCCTATGAATGTGTTGATCTGAAACGCGATAGTCGATAATACGATGGTGAAAACGCGAAATCACGAAACTACGATGGTGAAAACGCGAAAGTACGATGATGAAAACGCGATAGTACGATGATGAAAACGCGACAGTACGATACTACGATGATGAAAACGCGATAAACTATCGTGTTTTCACCATCGTACTGTCGCGTTTTCACCATCGTAGTTTCGTGATTTCGCGTTTTCATCATCGTACTGTCGAGTATCGCGTTTCAGGTCAAACCATTCATAGGCAATGGCCCTAACGGCATTCTGGAATGCCGTTAGGGCCATCGCCTATGAATGTGTTAATCTGAAACGCGATAGTCGATAGTACGATGGTGAAAACACGAAATCACGAAACTACGATGGTGAAAACACGATAGTACGATGATGAAAACGCGATAGTACGATGATGAAAACGCGATAGTACGATGATGAAAACACGACAGTACGATGGTGAAAACGCGATAGTACGATGATGAAAACACGACAGTACGATGATGAAAACTCGATAGTACGATGGTGAAAACGCGATAGTACGATGATGAAAATACGACAGTACGATGATGAAAACGCGAAATCACGAAACCACGATGGTGAAAACGCGACAGTACGATGGTGAAAACACGATAGTTTATCGCGTTTTCATCATCGTAGTATCGTACTGTCGCGTTTTCATCATCGTACTTTCGCGTTTTCATCATCGTACTTTCGCGTTTTCACCATCGTAGTTTCGTGATTTCGCGTTTTCACCATCGTACTATCGACTATCGCGTTTCAGATCAACACATTAATAGGCAATGGCCCTAACTGCATTCCGTACTATACTGTATTAGTACCCACTATTCCATAATCGACCCCGAGAAAACACAATCGATTATCGGAATCGGTTGGGCTTTTCTAGTAGATAATCGATTATACCAGCTAATCGGCCCATCACTAATTGTCACCTTAGATTTTAACAATATTACTTACGTTTTAACTGTTTGTTTGTTTTGGGTTTTACGTCACATCGACACAGTATAGGTCATATCGCGACGTTCCAGCTTTACTGGTGGAGGAAGACCTCAGGTGCCCTTCCATGCATTATTTCAGGCACGAACGGGTGCCTGAGTAGAACCACCGACATTCCGTAAGCTAGCTAGATAGCTTCCTCACATGAAAGAATCCAAAGTCCCTGTCGGGATTTGAACCCACAGAGGTGAGGGGCAAGTGGTTTGAAGTCAACGACATAAACCACTCGGCCACGGACGCCCCATTACTTACGTTAATTGATTCTAATCAAAATGAAATTAGAATAGGAGTTAATAATTAAAACATTAAGTAGATACACTTACTCTTCGGAAAATTTGCAACTATAAATCAGTCGAAAGTTCCTCGATCGTCATTAGCCTTGTTTGTCTGAAAAGTGTCACGACTCTTATGTGCAACACAAGTTGAAGATTGATTACTTTAACTATTAATTAAATATCAAACTTTTACAAAATCAAGGATAATAACAAACTTGAAAGTAAATTTAGAATGTATCCACAAGCAAAACACCAGGTGCTAAACTACACATGCAGATCTACATTCATGTAAAGTTTCATGACTAACTCAAATACTTTTGCAGCTATGTGGACTGAAATTGAAAATAGCAATTTTTTTTTATTAAGTCAAGGGCTATAACCTTGCTAATACACAATGAATATACAAGCAAACGCCAAGGAGCCAACTACACATGCTGATCATCATTGTAATGTTTCATGACCCTAGGTAAAATAGATTTTGATCCACGAGGGACACAAGTTGAAAAAAAAAATTCCCAAGTCAAGGGTAATAATAATTCTGCCAATACTGAAATAATCGACAAGCAACCCTCAGGTGTGCAACAACCATGGCCAACTTTTCTATAAAATTTCATCACTGGGTCAAATTATTTTTGAGCTATGTGCAAAAAAACATTTTGTGATGGACGGAGGGACAGACCTGAATGCTGCCTCCAATGTTTATCAGGCAATACTATAACATGATGTATTACTGTAATTATGGCAAGAAAATGATTTCTAAAATAAAATATTTAAACAAACAACAATAGTTTAAAGTAGCTTTACTGTCTTTTAAACAAACAACAACAAAAGTTTAAAGTTGCTTTACTGTCTAATTGAAAACAATATGCAAAACAACAAACAACAAAACATAGAAAAGGATAGCTTTACAGTGATTTCCTTTATGACTTACTTAAAATATTTCAACCAGTGCTTTACATTTCTCAAAACAACAGGTATATCATGTAAAAATGTTTGTAATTACTGTAATCAACACATTTGTAATTTAAATTCTTTCAAAATTTCAATTCATGGACCTTTTTTAATGTTTAATGGGGAAAATGAATTTGGTTTACTTCCACATAGCCCAATAAATTATAACAAGACAGTCTGAAGGACAGCTAAATCCCCTTCCTCAGTGAAGTATTTCTTGACCTTTTACAAACCATGGCCATGCATATAATAA